GAAAAACAAAAAACAAAAACCCCTGTGCCCACAGTGTCTAATTAACACTGTATCAGCAATTGAAATAGCAGTAACAGCAGCACCAAACACTTGTACAGTATTTTATACTCCTATTTGATGACTATACATCTTGCTTGTTTCCTTTCACTCTGAAAAGTATCCTGGGTTGGACAATAAAATAAATGGTCACTCAAATTCAAAGTGCTTTATATATAGTATCACACTTCATCCTTGAAACAACCCTATAGAGTGTATATTATTATCTTCCTCTACAGATGAGTGGTGTTACCTCTGCAGTCATAGGAGAATATACACAATTACATTACTAGAAAGTCATAGTATAGTCCCATTATTTTGTTACATTGCTCACAGGCATATTTAAAACCATTGTTTAAAGTTTCTAATTAAACAACATTTCTAATTAAACAACAACAACAACTAAACACTGTCAAAACCAACAAGCTCTATTAAATGAAATGTACGGCCACCCGCTTGTCACCACCCCTTTCTCATCTCCCATCTGTTGCTCTGGCATATCAATATATCTACCTAATGTTCTCTGTACTGCAGAAAGGACTTCTGAAATGATTTCTACCAGGGTACTAACACCGTTTAACACCTTTTAAATTAATACATACAAAATACAAACTGTGAACATAGTTTAAATTTATGTGACATTTAAACTGCTTTTCAGCCAGCCAAAATGCTGGGGTGGCAACAAGGAAGGAGAGAGAATGGCTTTGCCAATAATTGGCTAAGTAACAGTAAGTCATTTACTTCTCAAGGCCTACATTTTCCATCTATAAAATGATTGTGTTGGTAATAATATCTATAGTTGTTCAGTATCAGTAGATAACTTCTACCTGTGGCAGGGCAGTTCCTCAAACTAACCAATGTCTTTGTGCCAGGTGCAGGAAATAGCAAGCTTCTCTATCGAAAGCTCCCAGTTCAATCAGATATGCAGACCCCCATATAAGGTGTACATGAGGGCACAAAACTTAACCATTCACCTCAGAGTCGGATTTGTAAGAGGATATCGGCCCTCGTCTATGCTCCAGAGACAGGTACTGATACTCCTCCAAGAACTTTTCAGAAGGATGACTGAAATATCAAAGCCACCCACTTCTCACAATCTTCTCCACTGCCAATCAGTTTAATCCAAGCCCACCTTATTTCTCACTTGGAATACTTCTTGTTGACCTCTCTGCTTGCATTCTTGCCTTCCTAGCATCCTTTCTCTACAAAGCAACCCAGAAAGTTTTAAAAGATATACCAAATCACTAACTCTTCTGCTTAAACTCTTCCAGTCATTTTCAAGTACTCACAGAAGACAATTCAAAGTCCTTTCCACGGCCTGTGAAGGCCTTCCTGAGTTCCTGTTTATTTTTCTGACCTCCTTTTGTATCACATTCCTCCTGGCCCACCTGGATCCAGCCCCATTGGCCCTTATCCTCCCTAAAGAGTGAAGAACTTATTTCCACCTTAGGCCTTTGCACTAGTTGTTGCCTCTATTTGGAGTATTTTCCTAGGATCTTCACATAGCTGACCCTTGCAGGTGTCATTTTAAATGTCTGTTTTCAGAGCAGTCATGCCTGATCATCCTATTTTAAAACCTAGTTGTCAGCAGCCCTTCCCTATTACTCTCTCATATTCTATCTAGTTCATTCTCAGAACTCAATTAACTTCAGAAATTATGTCCTTTCTCAGAACTTATCTTATTTACTGATTGATCGTACACAATTGCTTCTCTCTCCCAAGTAGAAGTCAGGCCTTCCTCTGTAGTTTTCTGCTGTAACCAGCATCTGGCATTGTGCCTAGAAGGTATGCAACAGATGTTTGTTGACCTATCACATGTATTACTCACTTTTGCTTGAGTTTTACCAAAAGCTCAGTTGAGGAAAACCACATTTATAGAGAATTACCTGACAAAGTTGTAGTTCGTCCTTTCCTCTATGGTCTAGGTATTCTTAAAGCAAACAAGCAAAAAAATCTTGCTCTAAATTTAAGGCAGACCACCACAGCCATTCACTTAAACCACACAGTCTATTGGTTGGCTTTAGAATGCTTTCTAAATTGATTTAGCTTTTTTTGACCTCGTCAGTGATGTGCTAAGAAACAGCCCAATGATCCTCAGTGCTGAAAAGAAGTTAAGGCTATGACACTGGCTTTTCTGTATAAGGACCCCCCAAATAAGCTTTTTTCCCCCAATGTTTAAATCAGGAAAAAAAAAAAAACCTGTTTATCCTGGCTATCTAATGCTGCCTTCTCTCATAATCACTAGCTCACAGAATGGACCAGCTCCTGCCTCTTGGTATGGACTGCTAGAACAAGAGCCACTTGCAGCTTTCTTAATAAATGCGCCAGACTTTACCCCTAGAAGTCTGAGGATCACCCGCCCTTCCAACTTTTGGTTTTTCTTAGTCTCAGTGTTCTTTTTGCTGTTACCTCATTCATTTATTTTGTTTACTCATTATGGTGAGATGCCTTAAAATATTTTCTAGAATAAGCCAGGTAAGAAAATTAAGTATTAAGGGCTAAAGCAGCAATATGCATAAAATAAATGATTAATAGATAAAAGGTCAACTGGTTCTAGGAAAGAGAAAAGGGGAGTAGATGAGGTAGGTCTCAAAGAATAAATAGGCTTTAACCAGGCAGAGAAGAGCAATCTGTGCAGATTCGAGAGAGGAAGAAGGAATGGGGTAAAGATAGTCTATGATGTTGAGAAAACTGGACACATACAGGCCAAAAAAAAAAAAAAAATGAAACTAGGCAACATTCTAATACCATATAAAAGAATAAACTCAAAATAGATTAAAGACTTAAATGTAAGAAGAAAACATAGGCAGTAAACTCTGTGACATTGCTCTTAGTGATATTTTTTCTCAAATATCTCCTCGGACGAGGAAAACAAAAGAAAAAATAAATGGGACTACACCAAACTAAAGTTTTTGCACAGCAAAGAAAACTATCAACAAAACAAATAGACAACCTATATTTAAAATTATCCAATGTGTCTTTACCACCAGATTGTAACTCAGATGGGCAAAAGATCTCTCCTGTTAGTTCAGGATTGTAATTCTAAAGCCTAGCGCAGGTAGGATAAATACCTACTGAATAAATGAAACTGGGATGAAGCAAAGTTAAAATTTCCCATAAGTTCCTGGACCTTTAAGAGCCCCCACTTCACTATTCTTTAACGTATCCACGAATTTGGGCCTATTACACTTCTTCCCCTTAATGCGGAAATCCTGTCTACCCCCAACTTTTCAAAAGTGGCCTCTGCACAGGCATCGATGGTTACTCGTCACTCCCTCTTCAACTAGACTCGGCACGCCTAGATCTCCCCTTCCCAGATGTCAAAGGACTTCCTTCCTCCCTAACTGGATACCTTTTTAAGTTCTCCCTCCAGTTGCCCATCATTCCTGTCCACTTTCCCAAGAAATCACCCTATGTTATTTCTGCTCTCAGTCTACTGACCACCCTCTGGACCACGCCTCACATAGGTCCACCTTCCTAAAACCGCCCCCGTCCCCCCGCCCCAATTCCAGCTGACAAAGCACCTTCCTCAAGCCATACAGACACTCAAATGTTTTATGTCCTGATCTGCCCTAAGTGACCCCATCCCTATTCTGACTCATTAGCTCATAAATCTCCCATGCACACTCCCTGACAGTCCTTCAGGCACCCGGTCCACAACTACTTTTAAATATTGTCCTGAGTTCCCTCTCCTCAGCCCCAATTCAGGGCTAGTTCCGGGCCTCACTGTGATCCACTCTGCTGTGTGGGGCCCTTCCCAATCTGTCCAGAGGACTCCTCCAGGTGTCACTCTCTGTACGCTGACACCGACACCTCTAGTGCACTTGTCCCGGAATGTCTGTCCTCCTTCCTGGATTGGTCCGAAACCCTCGCCCCATCCCTGCAGTTCCCACTCCCTTCCAGCCCTCCACAGGCCCTCCAGATCCCCAGATCCAGGGCCTCCATCACTTTCTCCCCTTCGCTCTGGATCCTCAGAGCCCACCACCCCCATCGAGTGCTCCCTCTCACCACATCCTCCGACAGCCCGGACCCCTTCCGGGTACCACCCGCCAGCACAGCGCTTCCAGCCTTCCCAGGCCCCCACGTGTGCTCTCAGCCCCCCCGACGATCCTCCCAGCACAGCCTCCCCAGGCCTGGCGCGGCCTCCGGGGAGTAAGAGGGGATCCAAGGGGGACGAAAGGCTCCAGAGAGAGGCCGAAGGGCTCGTGGGAAGCGGCCGGGAAACCCCGGGGCTCCGAGGGGGATCTGATCAGGGAGGCCCAAGGGCTCCCGGAAGCGACCGTGGAGTCTGGGGGTCTTGGAGGAGGCCGGGGGGGTTCCGAGGAGCGGGCCGGGGTGGCGGCGAGCGGCCTCACCGTCAGTCACGGCTCCCATGGCGTGCGCGGCGGCGGCGGCGGCGCAAGCTGAGGCGGCGGTTGGCGGCGGCGGAGGTCAAACTCCCACAATGCAGCCGGGTAAA